CTAACCCCACTGCTCCCACCGATGCAAACTCACCTGCTTCTTCTGAAGCACCTGTTTCTTCTGGAGCAGCTCCAGCAACTCCTTCCGAGTCTGCTTCTTCTGATGGCGCAACTCGTCAATCATCTACTGGCAGAAACTGGGACGCACCTAGCACGTACGTTTTGATTGAGTTGTTTAGAGACTATGCCATCGAAATAACCAACACCTCGTCTACTGAGGAAAAGGCCGAACTTGACGCTGCAGTTTTGAGAAACTTTAACGATCATGAAGCTGTCAATGTTACCAGGAGTCTTACCTCGATGAAGAACAAGTGGAATGATACGCTTGCATCCTACAGAGAAAAACGAGATGCAGCTAGAACTACTGGTAGTGCTCCTCTTCCGCACTGGGAGTTTTATGATGCCATGGAAGATGCAACGACCCGTATAGCAACGGTCAACCCACACGTGCTATATAGTTCACTTTCGGGTGAAACTGTTGATAATCGTGAGCAACACACCTCTGGTAGACGTAAACGATGATGATGAGGAGGAGCCTGTGACTAGACGACCTCGAAACGTTGATGTGTCTGTCTGGTTTATGGTAAACCGTATGGAAGAAATTGACGAAAGAAATCGTCAAGAGAGAGCTGATGATCGTCGGTTTTATCGAGAGCAAATCGAGTTGAATAACCGTCTAAGACGTGAAAATTGGGAGATGTTGAGAGAAGCTACTTCGGCTATGACTAGAATGGCCGAATTGTTTGCTTTATCTCTTGCAAATAATAACCCCCCTCCTACCTCTTCCCCTTCCACCACCAATACTAGCGACAACAACAACAACAACCGTTCCCTTCCTTCCTCTAATGATAATAACATTTAATTTTTTTTTTATATAAATAAAGTTTTTTTATACTTCCCTTCTTCTGTTTCTGTAGTTTGTTCTGGTACGGATCAAGCTAGTAAGGGATTCGGTTCGTCTATCATTTCCATTTATATCCGAATTAGCCTCTTCTGTACCAACAGCACCACGGATATTTTCCAGAACAACATCTGTAAAGCCAGGATCACGAAGATCAATACACATATTGTGCAAGATGCAGGCTGAAGTAATAACCTCATTGATTGACAGCTGATCTAAGAGGTAGATATATCGACCAATAAATCTCGAACGAGCCACCAGTACACCAAATGCTCTTTCAATAGCCATTCTTGTGGCCGAATGTACAATCCCCTCCAAAAAAAAAGTTCCACCCTGTAACTCCGACTCTTTTTTAAAAGGATAGGTTTCATAGATTTAATGCTCATCACTCTTTCACCTTTATGTTTTTTTTCTCCTACAATTGGGTATGTCTCAATTGACACCTGATCAAAAAGCCTACGCAGTTGCAAAATCAAATCAAGGCACTTCTATCTCACAAATTGCTCGTGAATTAAATTTTTCAAGAACTGCCATTCGTCGCGCCATCCAACACTTTAAGGAAACTGGTTCATATCAAAGACGAGCAACTTCTGGAAGGCCAAAAAAGTTTAGTAACAGGGACAAAAGGGTGTTACAACGCTATGTGATGAAAAATAGACGTAGTACTCTTAATGAAATTATGGCCAACGTCGATGTCAATGCAAGCATCAATACATTCAGGAAAGAGCTTCAAAAGCTCCAATTGAATAGTCGTATAGCCCGAAAAAAGCCATTTATTAACGAGAAGCAAAGAAAAAGACGTCTAGAATTTGCAAAGCAGCATCAAAACTGGAGTTTGGAAGACTGGAGAAAGGTTATATTTACCGATGAATCAAGCTTTCAAACCAGCAGTTGTTCTAGTGTTGTTCGGGTACGCCGTAGGCCCAATGAAGTCATGATTCCGTCATGTTTGGCACCAACGTTTCAAAGTGGACGATCCTCCTTATCTGTCTTGGGTGGTATTGGATATAATCAGTCGCACTAATTTGGTTTTACTTAACAAGGGTGAAAGATCTAGTGCTCAGTTCATAAATCAAGTATATGAACCGGTTTTGAAGGACTTTTATAACGGCTGTAGTTCAGCAATTCTCATGGAAGATAATGCACCAATTCACACTTCAAACGTTGCCCGAAAATGGAAAAAGGACATTGGAATTATTTGTTTAGATTGGCCGCCACAATCTCCTGATTTGGATCCAATAGAGAATGTTTGGATGATGATGAAACTCGCAAGACCAAACCGTTTGCAGTTTGTAAAAAATATTTCGACATTACAGATGCACGTTATAAACGAATGGAAAAAGATAGAAGTTGAGAAAATTAACAAACTTATTGATTCCATGCCTAAACGCATAAGCGATGTAATAAAAAACAAAGGGCACCCAATTCACTATTGAGTATGCCTACGTTTGTCTAAAATACTTTTTTTTTTCATAAAATTTATATCATAATGTTCAGTACTGTCTTTTCTACTATATGGAGTTTTTTGAAAGCTTTTTGCTTATAATAGTCTGCCAAAAATCATGTAAGAAGATGGAACATACATGTCGGATACATATCGGAGTTACAGGGTGGAACTTTCTTTTTGGAGGGGACTGTACATGGTTGAATGTACGTTTATTGCGGTCAACCAAACATTGACTTTCCGGGAAGGGTGTAATTAAATTGGGACCCAAAGGATATCCAGAGTCACCAACCAAAAACGTACGACCAGGGAAGTAGGTCTCAGGGTTCGCAAGAATGTTTCTAAAGAGATCACTCTAGATGAATGCGGCTGCATCATGTGTTCTTCCTGATAGATTAATACATATTAGGGGGTGCCAAACATTAAATTTTTTCAAAAATCGCGGGAATTTTATTTCAAAGTTCCGGGAATCTTTTTAGGCTGGGAAAACTCGTCATAAGCCAAATACAGCTCCAGCTTCCCCTTTTCACTTTAAACCATTTTTCATAAATATTATCTTTTATTTTCAACTTTTAAAATGCCCAAACAATCTATTAGACAACAAACTTTGAACGAGATGAAGTCTTTGCTTAAGCACAATGTTATCATTGAAAATGAAGAAGAAGCGGAAGAGATGCACGAACTCTTGAGTGGATTAGAAACGAAACGTGTTCTCAACAGTGGACCTGGCATTCCTAAACTGGGCCAGTATCGCGAGTATTTCCTCGAGTGGAATGACGAAGAGTTTGTTAAGATTTGTAGAATGAATAAGGACTCGTTCTTAAAGCTCCTTCGCTTGATTGAAGGTCACGCAGTCTTCAACAACCAGAGTTTCATTCCTCAAAGGGATGTTCACGTTCAACTTGCAGTAACCTTGAGACGATTAAGTCACGATGGAACTGGTAACAGCATTGAGCAGATTGCAACTTTGTTTGGAATCAGCAAAGGCTCTGTCACTGACTACACCAACCGCTGTTTTAAGGCAATCACCGACAACCTTAAACACTTGATGAGCTGGCCTAACAAGGAACAAAGAGAAAGAGCAGCTGAAGCCATCAAAAAGCAGCACTTTTTTCGTAATTGTATTGGATACATCGATGGCACCCATTTTCGCCTTTCTCAAAAGCCTACCAACTGCCCCGAATCCTATTACAATAGAAAGGGGTTCTATTCTGTGAACTGTCAGGTTGTTTGTGATGAACGAAAGATCATTTTGGGTTTCCAATCAGGACAAGCAGGATCGATGTGTGATGCCACATGTGTAGAGCACGCTAGCTTCATGATTAATAGAGAAGCCAAGTATTTCACATGTGGCGATGCTGCAAGCCATGAGTACCTTCTCGGCGATTCCGGATATGCTCTTCATCCATTTGTGCTTACTCCTTACAGAAGACCACAGGTTGTAAGTTCGGTGAAGTGCGAAGACTTCAACAGGGTTCACTCTTCCGCCCGAGTTGCTGTTGAAAATACCATTGGTGTATTAAAGGGAAAATGGAGAATCTTGAAGAACATTCCGATTCAGATCAATTGTGAGGAGGATATCATGAGAATACATGAATTGGTACATGTATGCGGTCTTTTGCACAACTATTTGATCTTGGAAAATGACAATTTTGACGGTGATTTTTATGAGGATGTTGACGTCGGGCAGTCGAGATTAGACGTGGTGTTGCTGGAGTCATTTGACAACGTCAACAGTGTTTCCAGCCGTATATTGAATACTTGGAGGAATTCCGTTGCTGAAGTAGTTTTAGCAGATTATGCAGTACATTTCGGATATGATAATGAATAAACCAACTGAGTTGATATAATGTGCATTTGTGTTGAAAGGATTGGATTGCGTCCTTGCTGTGAAGGTTTCTGAACAATGAATGTAAATATATTTGTAAGAGGAAAAAAAAAACTTTATTTAAAAAGAAAAAAATATTAATCTACATCTGTTGAAGGATTACCGTCGTCGTGCTCATCTTCATCATTATCAAGATTGTAAAGATACTCTGTATCATCATATACATCATCATCATCGACAGGATCCCTCAGAGATCTACGAAAATCAGCCAGATGTCTGGTAATTTCCGTAAATGACGATGTATTGAAGGCGTTCGTTGTCAGACAAGTAACAAGCAATTGGGACATACCCAAATCGAACTCCCTCTGACTATTTTCCCTCAATACTTCGTCCCTTCTCAACTGAGCCTCGCGATACTCAGAAGAAAAGTCTCTTTTGATCCTCTTGTTTCTCATGGCGTGATCGGGATCAACACGGATGCGATCAGCCGTTGGCATTTCAGGCTGAACGGTACCAGCGCGACTAACACCTCCACGACCACGACCACGAGCAAGACCACGAGCACGACCACGAGCACGACCACGACCACCAGCACCGCCACGAACACCAGCAACACGAGCACCACCAGCACCAGCACCAGCACGACCAGCACCAGCACCAGCACGAGCACCACCAGCACCACCAGCACCAACACCACCACCAGCACGAGCAGCACTACCACTGTTGACATCGTTGTCATGGTCCACAGCATGATACGACCCAGCATCATCAAAATCTCCACCATCATCAAAAGAAAAGGAATCGAACAAATTATTCTCTGATGATGATTCAAATAATGGTGTGCGACTTGATGGCTGGGTATTAGATGGAACCAACAGAGGAGAAGAAGCAACATTGGTAGCTGGTACTTCTACGGATGACGGCTGGCCAGACAAAGCTTCACCAAAAGCAGGACGAGGGAAAGAGAGAGGTTCGTTTGAGACTGGCCCAACAGAAGAAAAACGGAAAGAGGAAGAACGCTCAGTAGACACAGGTGCAACAGACAAAGACCTAGCAGCCAAAGGAGCACCAGAGGAAAGAGAAGCACCAGCAGCCAAAGGAGCACCAGAGGAAAGAGAAGCAACAGCAGCCAAAGGAGCACCAGAGGAAAGAGAAGCAACAGCAGCCAAAGGAGCACCAGAGGAAAGAGAAGCAACAGCAGCCAAAGGAGCACCAGAGGAAAGAGAAGCAACAGCAGCCAAAGGAGCACCAGAGGAAAGAGAAGCAACAGCAGCCAAAGGAGCACCAGAGGAAAGAGAACCAACAGCAGCCAAAGGAGCACCAGAGGAAAGAGAACCAACAGCAGCCAAAGGAGCACCAGCAGCCAAAGGAGCACCAGCAGCCAAAGGAGCACCAGAGGAAAGAGAAGCAGATGATCTTGTTGAAGATTCAGCTGCATCACTTCCAACCAACAATCGACTGACCTCTTCAATCGCTTCTTGTTGACCACCAAAAACTGCAAAAGTTTGTGCCTCAATTGCAGCTAATGATGGCCTTACTCTGTTGGAGTATGTGTACTCGGTACCACCAGGGGCACCATGGAAAGCCACACAAAAAGGAGTTATGTTTGGTCTAACACCATGCAGAGAAGCCAAACGAGAAAATCCAACACACAAATGTTCACACTTGATCTCGATGGAGGTCAGTCCACGTTTAATGTCATCTGTAGTCAAGCCAAAACCGGTAGAGTTCATATCTCTTTCTACATCGCGATACTTTGCGAGTTGGCGTTCAAAACGTTTTCCAACCGATTTGAAATTCCAGGAAGACGGAATTACTTTATCTGCCAGAAGTTGCTGGAACAATCTCTCAATGATCTCTCTTTTTTTTATCTGACTACCAGCTGAAGGAGCGGACGACTTTTGTCCACCAAGATATATCTTAAAAAGGTCTTGATTACTCTCAAAGAAACCAATCATAGCCTTAATTTGACCAGGTGTAGTTTTGGTTCTATCAAGGCTTTTATCTGCGGAATCGTTGTTGGAAGGACCGCCACCAGTGTTTCTGTTTATTTGATCAGACATTTTAGATTATACGTTTTAGAGGAATTTAAGGAGAAAAAAGGTAAGTTAAAAACTTAGAAAAACTTTATAATGCAAACACAGATGCGATTTGATGCTTTTAGATTATCATAAAATAAATAAAATGTTACATTTTCACGTCATATTTCCTTCTCAACAACGAATAGAAAATGAGTATTCTTTCCCGAGATTTCTCGGGAATACTTTTTCTTGCCCGCAAAATCTCGGGCACAAAAAATCGTTCCCGCAAAGTTTAGGGAATTTGGCTGGGGAAAAATTCCCGGGAATGTTTTTTAAAAATTAAGGAAATGATTTTTTTAATGTTTGGCACCCCCTATTAGCATATTTGTATTTTTTAGGTTTTTGGCTTTGGTTACAATACCTGAATCACCTACTCTGATGTACGTAAATCGCAACTCAGAGTCACAAACTGCAGTCAGTTTGACAGAGTAATCATTCTTACGATCTCTGAACATCCCACCAGCTTCACCAGAAGGCTTATGAATTTTGAAATTCTTGCCATCGACAGCACCAATAACGTGGCTCAACCTGCGACCATCGTTACTACCAAACCCGAGAGCTACTTCATCTGCTTCCTCTGGGTCAGTTGGCCAAGCAACTAAGTGACCCAGTCTTCCTTTGATTGCTTTGACTGTTCGTTTGATGAAGTTGTTATAACTACCGTAAGAAACACGCAAATGCATATACGCTTGACGACATCCGACATGACTATTGGCCAAACGAAATAAAGCCGTTGCGATCTGAATGTAGATCGTGATGGTGTTAGGTGCAACAAGGTTGAAAGCCTCGTGCAAGGACAGCTCATTCACCAAATGCTCGAATGCACGCTTACTCATGCGGTATGTTGCTCGGTAACTGTTGCCTTGATTCTCGTCATCGTCGTTCAGAAAAGGGTGTTCCAATTTCCAAAAGTGGTATCGACGAGACTCTCTACGACCATCGGCACCAACAACCGTTCGGGTTCTCTCGACATATTCACCCCCGAAAAAAATGGGTAAACTGCTGATGGCAACACCGAATTGACTCTGGAAGTCACTAGCAATATAACCATATTGAAGGCGTTCGGCAATGAAGAGTTCACTAATCGAGTGAAGACTGTTGGCATCTTCTTCCAAACGACGTGAATTTTCTAAAAGTTCCATAATATGAGGGTGTAATTGGGACATGACAGTTGCAATTTGAAGAGGGTTCATTTTTGTTAACTTAAAAAATAAAATAAATTATGGAAAGGGGGCAACAGAAAAAATAAAAAAATAAAAAAATAAAAAATGAAATCCAGTCCAGACATTTTAGCAATTCGAGAAAACATCAATTTTAATCATCCATAATAAGCCATTTAAAAAGCATCGTAACGAATTTCTGAGAAAATACATCTTTTTGGAATCTGAGGTAACCTTTCACCAAAAAAAAAAAAACGGAGAAGAAAAAAAAAGTCCTATATTTGGACCATTAAAAATTTTTTTTGTGTGCTTGTGAGGGGCCTAAGTCTTTGTGATTTTGTATTTATTATAATTGCTTGTAATTTCCTTCTGTAAAATCAGCATTGTAGCTATTCCATTACGTCTTTAATTATACTCCTTCGAATACCACTCTTATCTGATTTCGTCGTATAAATTACCCTCTTATATAAATATATTTTATCTTTTTCAGTTGACAACTATATAGTCTGGTGCTCACTTTTTAAGAACTTTTATCTTAAACCTCTATTTTTATTTTCTTCTATTACTTTTATTGAAACTTGCCAGTAATAACATGTAAAAGTGTATTCGGACATGATATGGATAAGAATAACCGGGTTCGATTAAGCAATTGGGAATCTGACTGCCTTTTTCAAAATCAAATAAGTTACGCTGCTCTTGATGCTTGGGTTGCTTTCGAAGTGTACTCTAGTTTAGTAGATATCCTCGTCGTTAACGTGGATTGAAAGGACACAAGACATGACCAAATTTTTAAAATACGTGGCATTGTATTCATCATCGACGAAGAAGGGCACACCAGTATGTTTTGGTTTTATAAAAAATATTTCCGAACGGGGTCCGGGGTCTGGGGGGAGGGGCTTGCCCCACCCCCCCCCCAGAAACGTAGAACGGTAGATTGGCATTGAGTGAATTTTATTTCGATTAACTTTGCAGTAAAAATGTGGATTAGCATTAAGTAGAACAAAAGTTATCAGCCTTGATTTTTTTAAAGGGGGTCCGGGGGAGGGGTTTGGCCCACCCCCAGGATCAAAGAACGGTAGATTGGCATTGAGTGGACAAATGTTTAACAGCTTTAATTCAAAACTTGAATTGACATTGAGCGTAGAAAAAGTTTTCAGCTTTAATTTATAAACTTGAATTAAAATTGAGTGTTAAAAAAGTTATCAGCTTCAATTGTTTTATAAAGGGGGTTTGGGGGAATATCCCCCAAAATAGAGGAGGGGGGTCTGGGGGAAACTCTGCCAAATCAGCTTCCATTTATATTAACAAGAAAACAATGTCTGGTCAAAGTATCTTTTGCAATGACTATCAACAAGTCTCAAGGCCAGTCATTAAAAAAAGTAGCACTTGATCTCCAAACTCCTGTTTTTACCCACGGCCAACCATATGTAGCACTCTCTAGAGCAACATCAGCAAACGGAATATCCGTATTATTTTCAGATAAACAAAACACTACCGAAAATGTTGTTTATCCTGAATTACTCATCCACACCTAACTCCCATTAAATTTTATATCTTATCCAAATTCATCATTTTTTATCCCACCTTATATATTACAAATAATGGCAATATTTATTAACTTTGAGTGCGTTTCAGACCCTGGCTCCGCTCAGGAAGTGAGCGAGATGCCAGCTAGTAAGAGATCCCAGGATAGTATTTTGAGGACTCTCTCAGACTGTGGCAACCCCCCTCTCTATATTACAGCAGATGAAAATCTACTCAGGGTGACGGCTGCTCCTGACTCTGTAGCTCTACCAATTGTACCGGAGTTTATGAAAGACGGCAGTAACCATTTATCTTCTTCTGGTGGTTTTCGTTCTCAAAATCAACAAAATTTCAATGATGGTACTTTGCTTGCTCCGAGCAGAAGTAGGATTGAAAAGGGAAAAGAGAAGGAACCATTAGCTATCGACAATGGTATTACGTATCAAAGCGATGGTGATAGTATGTACTATGACCGCCAAGCCACGAGCGATGATGATGACAATGGAGCTGATAACAACAATTACGAGGAAACTCTTTCCGGCCGCCCAGGAACGGTTTTTAAGGATGTCTTTCATTCAATGGATATGCTGAATTTGAATTTGAAGCACAGTATACAAAAAGAGTTCATGAAAATGTTTCGCAACACTCTTTTTGTAATCGATTGCAACGATAAAAAACCCGTTGAAGAGACGCTGCTGAGTGTGGGTTCTACCTGGGAGGAGGTCTATAGTAAGAATCCCGATTGGATTTTGAAGAGGGTAAGACGCGCGGTACCGAATCCTGGAGAACTGTATCCACTTATGGAGAAGCTTTTTAATGATTACGGCAATCTTCGATGTGCCAAAAGCAGCAAGAAGCTGTTTGATAAGCAGGCCTGTAAAAAGGCCGAAAGTATTAAGAGATCCATCTGTCTTAGTCATCTGTCTGATCCAAAGGATATACCATTGTATCATGAGATAAGAAGAGACAGCCTTGGCGTTCCGTTGTACAGGTGTTTCCGAGGAACTAACTCTGTGGATGGTGGTAATCACATGAATATCCTCCGAAAATTTGGTTTTTATAATGCAGGCCCGGCTTTAGCTGATTGTGTGCTTGCGGATTATCGCCTACGACACAATGCAACTGTACGTATATTTATACTGATTTAGAATTTCCATTTATGTTCTAAATAATATCTGTTGTGAAACATAGGTTGGCAGCCTTAACAGATATGGTAAAGTGTTTAAGAATCACTACAACCCTTGGCTCACCCAATCAATCAATGAAATGGAATCACAACTTGTAATGGCGGTTAAGGCAAGTTACTTTGACCCCTTTTGCGATGCTCTAAAATTTAGAACAGTATACGATGCTGAGTTGATATTTGGTATTTGTCCTTTTTCGAGAGAGCTCATGGCAACCTTAAGAATGAGTAACAACTGTCAGTATTATTCTACATTTAATACGCTCTCAACCACTCTTGATAATATATTCCAGCTTTCTGTTTTACACTTTGTTCGTGCTTAGCTCTGTGTCAAGGTACGAAGTATGCTGTGACGCCCATCCATACGAGCAAGGAAAAAAGTCTCTTTCAAATTTTGTTCGAAAAGTGTACAATTAGTTTGGGTAATTCAAGTCCTAGCTGGCTTCAAGTCGTCATTGAATGGTCAACGCATTGTGACGGCATAGAAATATTTTACAAGTCTCCTGAACTACTAAAGGCATTTCATAACGTCAAGAAATACATGCAAATTTATAGCGATACTTTAAAAATGAACAGTGAAGCTTTGCCAATTATTGATAATCCCAACAATTTCCAAACCGTATTTCCGATTATTGCACCTCCAGCAAGACTGTTTTCGCAAACTGAAGATAGGGTGTCTCAACCCAGGCATGGAACTACAATGCATTGTCTTTACCAAAGACCAATTGCGGTGCGTCGAGGAGATACGCTTATGACGGTGGAAAGGCCACTTAAAAAAAGAAAACCTCGCTCCTGTGTTCGCTGTGGAAGCAATAGCTGCAAAGGGAGATTCAATGTACTAAATTGTACTTCATCTTAAATTTTATTCAAAATATTTTTTTGGTTGTTTTTTTTTAAGCTTCTATTAATTTCAACAATGTTCACACCATTAAATAATCACATACTTTATAATAAATTTCTTCAATTTTTGGTCTAAATCCTTTCTTTTTTGCTATTTTTTCCCGAGCGCCAGGGCGCTTCGGAAAAAAATCTATTCGGAACGGTTTCCAGGTATCACTCGCACCAAATTTTTATCTCTTTTAGGCAGGAGAATACATCCCCATTTTATTTACTTAATACAATTAGCGGAATAATTATCCACCGGAAGAAAAAAAACTTTAGACCGATTTCTTAAATACACCACAGCTTTTTTGGGGGGTTCCTCTTAGGCCAGCCAATCAAAGATCAAATTGGGATTTTTTTTTGTTTTTTTTTACATGTAGTTTTGTTTCTACATGTAAATTTTTCAAGATGATTTTTATTATTGCAAATTTACTATCAAAGACCAGTACGTGCCAAACTTTGAGATGTTGATCAACCGAATGTCTCTTTGCTGGTCAAAAATAAAACCAAAGTCCATTACATCTTTGCATTTCCAATCTTTACCAACAGGGACGATGTTGCTCGGGTGAATCAATACATTGCCGAGGCGATCTACTCGAATAGTCGACAGCCAGCGACCCTCACCCAGATCTCCTTCCTTGACAAACAAGTATTTATGTAAGTGTAGGACTTTATTGTCATCCTCCTCAACCCGACCTAATGATAAGCCAGTTTCCGTTTGAAATAAGCCTGTCAAACCAGCAACAATAACCGTCTTGGAAACGTAATAGCTGTCAGATATATTCTTTCTTGCACCAATAAAATGCTTCTTAAACTGCGAATTTTCCGATTGCATAGCTTTCATGGCAATACCTGTTTAACCACGAACCACTTTTACGTACTTGACGCCATTCTCTTTCCATTCTTTTGTGTGTTTAAAAGAAAACCCATTAAATATCTGTCGACGGATGAACTGCTTTCCGAAACGCTTCGCAACATCTCTAGAAGTATATTGTCTGTTAGTCAAAAACAGATGCTCACGAATAAGCTTATTGAATTGTTCAGAGCTTTCTGTTTCGTATTGTAAACGACAACCAAATCGTATGATATCCTCAAGCAAATTATACAGCATCTGCACCTTAGGACGTAACGAGACTAACGGGGGCTTCGATTTTGTGGTTTGACAAATGGAATTATCCAGACCGTACAAATGGTATGTGAAATCCTTCAATGAATTTTCGAACCAAAGTATGTATTTGTCAAACTTAGATTCCACACCACGAATGTAGATCAATGAACATAACTTTGCCAAGGATGTGAAGCATCTTTTAAATAAAACAAATCGATTTTCGTCAGTGAACACCCTGTTAAGAACCGTAGGAAGAACTTGTACCACCTGCTTGTAATCTCTACCAACAAAGGAACCACTGTGACGAAGACTACTTCTAAAGGTTCTTGGGTAATCATCACGATTTCTTGAGGATTGCAAAGCCGCATCAAGAGTGACTATCTCGGATGGAAAGAGGACCGTTTTGGTAAGATAATCGACAAGGTATTTAACGCAACCAAATGGAAGCGTATGGAGGACTTCTACAGGCCAATCCCTGGTGAGATCAAAAGCATTAAGACGAAGAAATGCCTCACTACCATTGACGGAAAAACTGTATGTTTGATCCAACATTTTGAAGCGTTGTGGATCATTTACTTTGCACGGAACAACTTCGTGAGGATCCTCTAACCGTCTCTTGGGATAGTCGTGGGAGATATGTGCCACGTCGAACCTTCATCAGATTGAAGTAAATCAGATACTTTCTTTTGCTTCGACGTAAGCACGCACGGCATGGATGTCTAGCTTTAGTACCTTTGTGCATAGCCAATTCTGAATGTCTTGGGTTATCAGCCGTCAACAAGAGTAGAGGCGCGACCAAAAGAATATATTCACCATGATCGTAAGAATACACCTCAATTCCATCTTCCAGCTTTGCGCGATCATCAATTAGAGAGCTTACCATATCAACAGCTTTCAAGTTCTTGTCAGAAGTACAAATGAACATGGTATTCTCACAGTGATTTCTCTCTTCCATGGGCATTGCAGCCAAGTACATCAGGTAGCTATCAAATACACTGTACTGCTTGGATTTGTTACCAGAAGTGTCATCAGACCAGAGGATAATGGGCGAGATAATGACTTTCATTAGTTGTTGGACATTGGGACTGCTAGGTCGAACTCTCTTAAACTTTGTGCTGAAATGAAGACCGTTCCAAAGATTATAAATATCACCATTAAGACCAAATGCCACGAGACAGATTTCGCCGTTAGTATTGTATTCTACGGTACATCCATCTCCTTTGAAATTTGGTAGCTTCAAAATAACATTATCAATATGGTCTACTGCTAAATAATGCTTCTCGGGAACAATTCCAAAGTTCGTGTTTGAATCCAAAAACGGCATATGGTTGCCCCTTGACAAACCACCATGTAAGACCTCGAAAGCCTCACAAACAACATGAATTCCAGGTGAAATTGGCTTTGCAACTGTGACAAACTTACTTAAAAGATAACAGTTGCCAATGTTATTCTCGACTAGATCACCGACCCGAATGTGTTTACCATGCGCGGTCACCATTGGTGTTTGGAAGTTTGGGTGATTCCTCCATTTTGTGCCGTCGTTTAAGTGAAAGCATCGATTTGAAGTATAATCAGGAAGTGTAGCCATCTTTTTAGTCATACCAGGAGTAGCTACTAGGTGTTCCAGGTACACGGAGGGTTCATTCATAAAGAACGAATGCTCCTCCCCTTTCTTGTTGCGAGCCTTGCGTTCGACAGGAGCGAAACCAGGGATTTTGGATTTTACCATCGTAAGAAAGTTGAAAATTCTGTCAGGAGCAGGTAAAACCAGTGGTACTTTTGAAGCTTCCTGTAACTTCAAAGTCACTTCCAGAAGATAGTGAATCTGCTTGACCATTCTTTCAGACTTGAAGTCCTCATCGCCGTAAAAAAATCCGTGGATAAGTCCTTGCAAGGGAGAACCAAAAGGATTTGACATAGCCGGGATACTGTCCATCTCATCCATTACACTGGACGCATAATGAAGTCGATCAATGTCGTCTTCCACGTTAGTGACACCAGCTCCAGCAGAAATGTTTTCAAAACTTTGGGCAACAGGAACAATTGTATTGAGAAGGAACCCTTGGTTGATATCAGCTTCGCCGTCAAAATCCTCTTCACAAGAACTGTAAACTTCATTATCAGAACTGTTTAAAATTTGTGAGTATATTTTTCGTTTATATATATCAAATATATTCCTACTTACTAAAAATCTTCGGTATCGTGAACTTCGGCATCTTCGGCCATAGTTGTGCCATCATCAGAGTCGCTACCGGTAGCCACGTTTGGGTTTGATACTTCTAATGCAGGCTGAGTATATTCAGTAAACCTGTGGTTCACAGGTTCCATACTATTATTCCGGTTAGATCTATGTTTTGTTCTTCATATGAGAAAAAAAATCAGTAACTAACAAATAGACATTCTCAGCGTCAAAAACAATACCTTTTTCGCCAGTTGTATACTCTGTTGAATTCAGTCGATCCAACTTTTTCAGGGTGCTCACGTTGAACGTGATTTTTATATTTCTCCAATTCGAAGGTTTTTTTTGTAAGGGTACAAAATGGACAAGTAACATGTTTAAGAGTATTACTTGTTCTGCAGTTAGATGTGCTTGTATACTTTTCCATAGTGAGATGTATAATAAGTAAGTGTAATGGGAAAGAAGAACGTATAATATAAAATAAAAATATCTCAATTATCTACGCTATAAATTATGCAAGCTTCTGTCATTCGCGCTAATTTAGTCTTGTTATTTCAGCGAAAATCTTAGCTTAGCTTAGATAAATGTTTTCTCTTTCTTTCAGTTATTTTTTTTCTCTTTATTTCCGTTATTTTTTTTTTTTCTTGTAAGGTAAGATATATCACATCACTTAAAAGTTGGTTTCTAACTGTTAAGCCCTTAAGACAAATTAGCTTTGCATCTTTTGTAACTGGCAGGTTTAAATGGTAATTATCAATTAAAGCCAACGATATTTAACGCTTTATTAACAAATAAAACCTTGATTATAGGATTAAATAGTAGTATATTATGTACCAACAATGTAAGTAAATGATAAACAACGCAATACAACTACATATTAACCAGTTTGCTTCCATTAAAGTCTCTTAGAGGTCTATCGCTATTTTTTTTATTGAAAAAGGTATAGTTAATCATCTTATTCAGTACATAATTTTTTCAGTAACTAACACTATCTCTAGGTAATCTCTTCTGCGTCGAAGGCTATACAACTCTACTTTAGCGATGCTTCATCGATTGAAGTATCCCAAGGGTATACGTTTACGTGTTGAGGCGATAAAAGGGGCTGATATAGTAGCTATGTCATAAAATAATCTGAACCCATAAAAATCGTATTTCAATCAAAAACATTTGTACGATTTTTACCCCCAAACCCCCCAGATTGAGAACCCCCAATTTTCAATGAACCCCCAAATCTCGACCCCCCATCTTCTAAACTAGGAAGGAGAATTTATTTCTTAAAAAAATTTAAAACTCAAAAAAAAATCAGTGGGAGTGATGGTATGGAGGCCAATTTCGGCCTCATACCCATAGGTGGGGACCGTTTTAAAAAAATGATCTAATTCTTTTATTTTTGGGTGCCTTCTGGCAACCAATTTTTTTTTGAAAAAAGAGATTTTAGTGATGCTTTTATTATAAAAAGTTAAAAAAACGTTCTCTGTAATGGGTTTGGTTGTTTTTTAAAAAGAAAAAACAAGGATTCACTTACTAGTAGGGGTTTTAAAGTTGGTTTGGTTTAAGGATTGTCAATGAATTTACAAGGTGTGACTTTGTACCGTCCAGGACAATTGTTATCACGACACAACCCGCATTTGTTCATGCATAGTTGTGTCTTTGATCTGCCACTACATGAACATGTATCCTTACAGACGAAACAAGTTCTAGGTGATATTTTTATCTTTTTTAGTTGAGGGCTTGTTTCTATTTGATTTACATCAACTGGAGAATTAGGCCGAGAATCAGACGGAAGGAGAATACGAGGTGAAGCGGCGTGGATTGTCTGTAAATTTACACGACTCGATATAATCGGTGACAAAGTTAAAATGGGTCTTGGCGAGGGAAGTAAATGCCGCTCATGGTGTTGTGTGTCAAAGAAGAACAGTTGTTTAGAGAATACTTTTTTATTGACTGGAATAATGATTTATAGGAGTAGGAACTTTTAAAGCTGTGACAGGGTTCATTATTCTGCTGAATTGAATCAATGCATTCTTGACGGTGTTGCGGATATTCTCGTTCTGTAAGGTCGTATTACTAGACACACTTGCTTCTATCCGTTTGTTATGATAGAGCTTTATATGTTCTGGTGTTTTATAGTATATATTGCTACCGTCAGCAAACGAGGACCATAATATAGCGAAACCATGGAAATCAGGAGTTTAACTATGTCTATTTAAAAGTAATTCTTCGTTTCTAGTTGAAATCAGCTTATTATATAATACTACTTCTTCTTTTGTATGAATCGGTACTACTGCAAAGAGGGTGTGTTGTCTGTTTGCTAGATAACGATAGACAAAATTTTGAGCTGAGTAACCTTGGCTTCGAAAGTTGACAATAGGTAAAAAGCTTAACTGCAACAATTTTTGCTTAATCATTTCCGTTGAAAGGTGTTCAGAAACCTGGCTTTTTAAGCTTGGCTTCATAGAATACATGGTCAAAAAAGACATATCCAGTGCTGTTATACCAAAGGATTCCACTGATTGCCCCATAAAGTCGACCGGGAGCTTTATATGGTGAATAGTATAATTCTTTACAGGATTATGACCAAAGTAGAGCATCATCATATTTGTACATTGAGTGACCCAAGGACTATAGTGGCTTTTATAAACTATACCTTCCTTGTTTCTGGCCGCAACGTATATGTTACATACGTTACTATTTAAAATAAGTGCTTATCAAATGCCAAATAAAGTACCTCAATATTATGATACAATCTAAAATCAGCTAGAACTGAATCAGCAAGACGAGGACCAGCGTTGATTGACGAAAATGTTCCTATTATGGTTTGGTGGTATCCCTCGACAGAACTAGTACCTCTAGAACATGCATACTTCATTAGGCCATACTTGTCTTTTCCTATTTCTCTGTACAAGGGTGGACCATTTTCGATATCAGAAACATGCGCTAATTCAATTGATTTAAGAATGTTCCTAGCAATCCTTTTGCATTCTTGCTCAAATAAAGGTAATCCTGTTTTAGCACAAGGACGTGGTCCGTACAACTCAAACAATAGCTTTACAGCAGGAAACAGTTCAGCTGGTGGTGGAATTTTTTGTTTAACCCGTTTCAAAATAAAACTTGAGTTACTTGACATATACGATTCAAAATCTGTGCCGATAGATCGCATGTAAATTTCAACGTTTTGTTTATCGATTGGATCATACACAAATAGAGCCTCTCGAAATCTTCGGTAAAAGCCTCTATAAATCCCGTGCTTTTGCGACAATGGTAACATATCCATAAGGTAAAACGCATCTTTTAAAACCCGAGAAAGAGTTACAGATTCGACTGTGGGTTGCGTATGAACGTTATTCGATAATTGGGCGATATCACCAATGGGAATGCCGTTACTTGGACTTTTCGTGGCAACGGAAAGTTGAGCTTCAGAGGATGCTTTCAACAAGTTATAATCAACAAATATAGAGAACGGTGTATTGCCAAAACCTTGTAGAGATACAGAATTATTTGATGGAGACAAAAGGCTTGTATAATTGGACAATGTAGTGCCAGGTATTTCTACATCAATTATTTCAACAGCTGTTTCTATTTCATTCATTATGCTTGATTTTTTTTTTGATATACTCCTTTGTTAATGGATGTAGCAAATTTAAATCTGACCGCACTTCTTTCAGATAACCAAAGGCACAAGGATAAATCTTACAGGATGTTGTATACAATGCAACCAACGTGTTTTCAACCGTCAAGTGATTACCATTTTCATTAACAATTGGGTAATTTACCAGTTTGTTGAAAATGACTAAACCAGCATAAGCATCTAAAGCAGCATATTTGATTCGCTCTTGAGTAAGCTCTGTTGCATTCCAATTTCCACATCTAATGCTTTGTACTTTGGGCAACTGTTTGTTCAGAACAAGAGCACAAATAGTGGCCAAAAATCGGATCTTTTTTTGGTGACACCTTTTTCTTTGCATAATGCTCCAATATCTATAAGACCCTTGGAATCTACATCATATCCTCTTCTTCAGCGTAGGAAGTCACCACCTAGATTTTTTCGAACTTTTTTGATCTGGTCACACTCCAATAGTTGTTTAAGACTTCTGGGAAAGTCTGCTTTAGAGAAATCACATGTTCGAAACAAATACACTTGATTTTCATAGCAAATCTGTACAAGTGACACCTCATTCAATGCAGCCTCTGTTCTTCTTGGTCTGGTATTGAATGTGGCGTGGTTTCTTGCTACTCATTCGCAATCAAAACCAACATAGATGGGAGTCGACGTGTTGATTCTGTTGATTATATTCTGGCAGACGTCATTAATGTCTTCAACGGCGGAATACACCAGCGTATTCATCATTTCAGGCATCTTCAAATCTTCAAATCTTCTAATTCCATAATCTGCTCTGAGTTAAAAATTGAACTTGTCTGGGTTGAAGTGGATCTGCTAACATTATCTAGTAAGCTTGGCAATACACCTTCTAAAAAATTACAATCCCTATTTATGTTGTCCGTGTAAAACAATGAAGGTAATTTATCGCCATTTAACTGGTAAGATTTGGACAATGCTTCGAAGGGCGACGAAAGATGTGTCAGAGCCTTTGAAGGAGCCATAAACTGCATTTTTATCTCCTCGTATTCGCTCAAGCATGTGTACAATGCTGAAAAAGTGGGTTCGCCATTGATTTTTTCCATATGGCCGGTTACCTTAAAAAAATTGTCACCTTTGAGAATCGCGCCGTCCAAAGACATCATATGCCCGTCCAACTGGGGCCTAATCTGGTCAAACATGGACAAGTAAACATAACTTAAGTATGAAGGAGAAGGTACAAAGTCATTGTACCTTTTTTTGTCCGAGAATGTAGAAAATTTGAGAGGTCCATCATTTACACCAGCAGCCTTCTTTAACAAAGAATTTACACCAATTTCACAAAATATTCGCGCACTCACGGAAAAAAATTCGTTCATCTTCAAGAAAAAATTTCGTTCAGCGACGAATTAAATTATCGCTCAAAAATTAATAAATAATTCGTGCAGAGTCTACGAACGAAATGAACGAATGAAAATATATTTTATTAAATGGGTTTACCATCAAGACAATCATCAAATTTTTTTGTAGAATATCTACAAAAGCCTTGGAGGTCACTGATAAGTACATTGTTACATGCATCTCTTATTCTCATTGTCAAGGTCTCTTCATCCAACAGCTTTACCCGCTTAAGTTTACTCTTACAAACTGATCAAAACTGTTCGATTGGATTCAGTTCAGGGGAGTAAGGAGGGAGATAGATACAGCCATACCCACGTTTTTCGATATATGTTTGTATATCTTTGTTGGTGTGGATAGGCGCATTATCCATGACAAGGTAGTGGTTCTTAAACTCCTCGTGTCGATCCATTACGTCTAGTGTGTTGGCAATGAAGTTAAAATAATGACCTGTAACGATCCCGCCTTTGATACTGACAGGCTTTCCTCCTTCGGCTTTTCTTTTTTTTGAAGAGGCTGCAACTCTTGGACGTCGGATACTGACGTTGACAACACCGTAAGGTGAGATGGCCCCCAAAATAGTTGTTGTTTTTGCTCTTGTTTTAGGCACAACAACAACCGCACGTTCTCCCTTCTTAGACCATGCTACGCTACGTTTCATATTAATATGAAACGCAGCTTCATCGACAAACACGCAATTACTATTGTAGTCCATATCAGTACTCATCCATCTAATAACCCATTGACGTCTCTGCTCAATTTTCTCAGGACTATTTCTTTCGACAGAGTGAAAGTGGGATCTTTTCAAAGATATGCGGCATTTCTCGGTTACAAAATTATATAGTGCCGTTTTGAAAATGCTGAGGTCACTGATTTTATTTGTCAAACTTTCCATCATCTCATCCAAAACCAACCCAGCATTTTCGTCTACAAGGTTGACCAAAAAAGCCTCGTGGTTTTCATTTAGCAATGCGGGTCTACCAACTGGTCTTCCACTGCCGGGTCTTCGCATGATCGTGTCTTGGGGATCTTTTTCATTTTGTTTTACCCATGTTTGCGCTGTTCAAAGAGGTATATTCAATTTCTGAGCAATTGCTCGGGTGGACATATCTGTCTGCGTGTAATAATAAAAAAACTTTTCTTTATCCTCGTCTTTATAACGTCTATAAGTCTTTCGAATAGGCATTTCAGGGTCGGTGCTGCCAGCCTCAGCTTCCACAAACTCTTCTTTCTTAACCTCTTTTTTCTCTTTCTCGGTTGGCTTGACATCGACATATTGATCATACTCTGTAGCGTTTTCCAAGGGAAAAGTCTCGTAGTCGACATCCATTAACATTTCAACAATCTCATTTCCCTGCTCATCAATTGCGCCTCCTTGACCATCTTCAATAATAATGTTATCCATTGCAAATGTAATTTTGTAAACTAGCTCCAGAAAACGAACGAATTTTTCACTTTTAAATGCGCGTAATTTTTTTCTTAGTTTAAACGAAATATTATTGGGGCGCTGAACGAAATTTTATGGTAAAAATGAACGAATTTTTTTCCTGGAGTGCACGAATAATTTATAAAATTAGTGTACATCAGGTTGTGTTTTCTTATCGCAGGCAGCATCGTAGTACTGGAGCTCCAAGGTAGCATGGTGTTCTGAATGCATCTCACTCAAAATATTCGAAAGGCGCACTGGACCCACTGAGCTTTGGAAAAGTGGCCGCATCAATTTTGCCAAATCTTTTGATATAGCAGACTTATGGGTGAGAATAGCAGGAAAATCGGCTTGCATTCTGAAAGGAAGCTGGCTAATGATACCAGAATCGAGTCCATTAAATGAATGTTCTTTTATAGTGTTTTTGCATTGATATTGTCCTGTCATTAAATAAAAGCAACTAAATAAAATCATAAAAAAGCATTAGTTTTCTGCGAATGTTCTTACAATATCAGATGTGCCAATAAATAATCTACATACTCCTTTATATCAATAATTCGTCTTGCTCTAGAATTCTTATCAAAACCTTTCGAATCAATACCGAAGCTGCAAGTAGGACATTTCAGGTTATCTTTCAGTAAGTCAGGTAACCAAATGAAGGTCCTGGGGTGGTGAAACGCAGACGGATCTGCGCCCTTTTTCAAAATAAATGAAGGGTTTTGCTTCTGTGTCCAAAAAGTGCCTCTCATATATTCTTCGGGCATGTTGCCTTTATTTTCGTTGTTTTCCCCAAGTCTTTGTTGAATTCTTTGATGGCACTTTAATGTTTCACTGTCAGGGGGTAGTAAAGACGCAAAGTCATCCAAAATGCTAAATGTGACTCATCTAATTCCTCAAATGACTCCTCATCTGTGTCTTCTTCAGTTTCTTCATTTTCGGTTCCAGTGAGAGAGCTTTGGTTATTGTTTGTTTGGGCAATCTTAAAAGTGCTAAATAAACTTTTTTAATATTATTGAGGACACCTGTCATTTTATCAATATTTACCTGATCGATATGACTCGTTGAGAATTGTTCTTCAAATGGGCTAGTTGAGGCTGAAGCTTGAAAGTTAGCAGTTTTACTAGAAGAGTTCTTTAATAGATTTTTCATGGAGGACTGATTATCAATCTGTTTTTTTTTTACGACCAGCGTTATAACCACTCTTATTTTTCTGTCCAGTTGGTCGTCCCCTCGTATTTTTGATACTGCTTGTATCCATGGCATGAATATTGTTTTTTGCTACTATTTGACATTTGAAAGTATATAATATTAATTTTAAGACGCAGAACATCTACTTTTATACCATATACAGACCCCTGACGGCATCCAAACCCATTGCATTGTATCACACAGTTCTTAAATAATTTTGCTTCTTATATTTAAACCACCAGTCTAAATCGTATTTTTTTTGTAATTTAATCTCACACTAGGTGTTCTCAAGCAAATTATTTAAACTTTTAAAATAAATCCTTTAATTAAAATCAAAAGTCACAAAAAACACAACTCCGATTTGGGAAAATGTTAAACTGTCATTTGTACCTGGCACAGAGGCGAATGTTATCTTGTTTCTTTCTGGTATTCTTATCAAAATAAACATACTTTACCTTTGCCTCCACCTATTTTAAAAATGAACAACCAAAATAATGATTCTTACCCTATTGATGGTCAGCCTGAGAGCAGCCAGAATGGAATCGTTGGACGTGGATGTGGACGTGGAAGTGGAAGCCAAAATGAAGATGATTTCGAAGGCTCGCAACGCCTTAGAGGATCTGGATGGCGACAAGCAGAGACCTTGTTGCTTATTGAAAGGTATAATGAGCACTTCCATGCTATGGATTCGGCTAGAAGCTGGGCAGAAAAAAATGAAATTTTTGACCTTCTCGCGAGTGAATTTCATGCAGCAGATGTTGAACATGCTCCTCGGACCGACGAACAGTTGAAAAGCAAGTAGTCAAATCTTTTGCAGGATTTTAAAAGAAATTACGCCACCCGTAATTCTACTGGACAAGCACCATTCGCTCGTTCTATCATTTATGACAAATTATATAGCATTCTTAAAGACTTACCTTCATATTTTCCACCTGTCACTTATTCCTCAATTTCAAAGGAGTTCAGAACAAGAATTGAAGATGCTCCTGAGGATGATGACAATTTGGAGCCTGAGGTTGTTGGTGGTCCTAGCCAGAATACTGCACATACGAACACTGCAGACGATGTGTTACGTACTGTAGATACCCAACCTGCAACAGTAGGTAATGTACGTTCCGAGAGGGTCTTTGTTGTCGGTAAACAAGATCAACCTCCCACTGCAAGAAGCAGATTAGAGACACCCCGTGTGTCAACAGCCGCGACATCCCCACCTGCAACAACAACACCACCAACAGCACTACCAGCACCACCAGCACGCGCATCGGAGCCCTTTCAACCTACCCAGGAGAGAATAGCTTCGATGTTGCCTTTACCATCAGCGTCTGAACAACGCACCGAGAACAGCATGTTGCGTGTCTTGGACCGGGTGCAACAAACTCAAGCTTTGGAAAGAGACAACCACTTCCAGTCCTTTTTTCAGTATAGTCGGGAGTCCAATGCAGTATTACTTGCACGTAGTGATTGAGTGGCAGAACTGTTTGCTCAAAGTAACAGGGAAACGGCAAGACTTGTTGATGCGATCCTTCAGGATATGGTAAATCGAAACCAACAGGGTCAAAATAATAATAACAATACTGATCAATAAAAATATATAATTTTTTTACAAACATTACTGGTTTATTGTTGAAGGGGCATATAGGGGTTGATGATGTCCCTTCTAGTATGACCATTCCGATAGGCGGTGCTGTTGACTGACTGACTAGAACTATCCGGTCTAGTAGCAGGCTCATTGATCGTCACATCGTTCGGGTCGTCTTCTACTAATTCCAGAACAGGGTCATTCATCTCAATACACAGATTGTGTAAAATACAACAAGCTGTAATAATACCCACAATATCGCCAGTATCCTTGATGTATATACATATAACTTTGGGTTTTGATCGTCGTTGAATCAAGCCAGAACCCTTTTTTGTGGAAAGACTTTATTAGTGGGTTTAGCAAAAAGCTTTCTTTCACAGGGGCTTTCTTTCGCTTAAAGAATTTTTACAAAAGAAATTTACATCCACTGTTCTTGTTTCATCGATATCTCAGTAGATTCTATCCATCCAGCAACAATTCTTTTTGCATTCAACGCTTCTTTGAATATTCTGTCTTTTTTAATTATTACGCTATGGTCCATCTCTTTAATTTCGACCTCAATCTCGACATTTAAAGAAATCTACCGAAGAACCTTACATGGTCAATTCTTAATTTTCAATTCTCGATTCCAATTTCAAAAATGAATGACATGGAATCAAATGATCGGTTGTCTTTGACAGTGGTTGTTGCTCGTGGTGCCTCAAAAAAAGGGTACGTCCTGTGTTTTATTCAAAGACACAAGACAAACATTATATACTCTCTGGACATTTAAATTTTGGGGCGTAAAGCTGCGGTTATTGTTTGTCAAGCCTTGACTCATGGTTCTGTTCTTTTTTTTCCGGCTGCCCTTTTTACGGTTTGCGCTGATGCTTATACTGCAATTGAAGCAGGTTGCGGTAAAATTGCAGGTTTCGAACCGATTAACATGTATGGTGGTGCGTCTTCTGGTAATCTTTTGGTGGAAGGGAAGTTTTCAAGCGCCGCTAGTTCTACTAAGGCCGTATCTCTCACGGACGGAACAGGAACAAGACACAGAAACTACTTGGCGATACGAGGGGGCCGAATGGTTAAAATAAAATATGTTTATTTATTAAGAGGGGGAGGGGTTAGGACTAAGATCCAGAATAACGTTTTTTTAATAAATAACTAGCATCTATTTATAATATTTCTTATACATGGGAAAAACTACGATGGGTTTAAATTATAGATTAACAAGGGACTTTACAGAACAGACACATGAGTAGATTATTGACAAGGATGTCTAATTGAGATTTGACGAGTAGTAACAGGCTGGATTTAGTTGACATTGAATAAAATGATGTTTCGGGGAATATTTATGGTTTGACACGGGCTGGAAAACTGGATTAGGAATAAAAGTAAAAGATGATCGGGAAAAGGTTTTGTCGTATTTGGGTACGATTCACTTAGGAATAATTAAGCAAATCGTTTAAATAAATAAACTATGAAGTTAAAACAACCTTTGATGTTACATATCAGCATACGCTTGTATATTGCTATACAACTTCTCCTACTTCGACTACATGCTTCTATATAAAAGATTGCATGATTGGCCTAAATACGATATACGAATGACAGTTGGATACAGAATGCTATACCACCGAGTTACGATATCACCGATCGAGAAGAGAAACTTCTCAGATCAATCAAGAATTATAAGAAAGAGAAACTTAATATTAATAGTTCTCTCAATGGATTAGCTACCCAGAGAGAGAATAGAACAGCTATTAATATAAATGGTTCATTTACTTATATATTGATATAATTATACTGCTGATAAAGAGTATAAAGAAATAGTGTATGAATTAATGGATACCTAGCTTCTACAACCAAATATACAAATATCGATAAGACATTTTATATTTGGGATCGTAATTTATTCATTACAAAGATAATAAATAAATGACCCACCATTATGTTCTTTTGCCAATTACACTTGACAAACAAGTATGCATCTTTTACAGTAACCGTTGCATGATCTGATAAATAACTGTCTCGTGATACTAAAGATTTATTAGAATACTCATGCTCCCAATCCACTGATATGGGACAATGTTATCTGGAAACAATTCTAACGATTAGTGTCCATTTGACCCAAGGCGGGAAACAAAGTATAGATCTATTCCAAAACCAGAAAGGTTGACTCATCATTAAAATTCTGGAGAGTTGTGCAATATAAAAAGAATCAATTATTTCATAGCAGCAGAGTTCTTTTAGTCTACTTTTGTCCCTAATAAAAATATACTTTTATCTCATTACTTTTCTATGTAATATTTTGTCAAATACCACAGGTTTACTAAGGTTGAGCCAGACAGGAAGCTGGAGTAATATTGAGAGGCAGATTAATGATACGTTTTACAAGGAGTTCGGTGACGGGCAAGATATACTGATATGATTTTTGGTAGCGGACAAGATATACTGATATTAATTCTTAGAACAACGTTTCACAAGGGTTTTGAGATCATGGCTAAGTTACGCAGACAGTAAATAGGGTGAGTAAGTTCATGACAGTATTTATTGGGGTATTGTTGGTCAAATGTGCTTCAAAGCATCCCCTTCAAGTAATACTAGTGTTCGGAATGAAGATCGAAACTCTCGAGCAATCTTCGATCGTGTTCCAGTCGAAGCTCGCTCGGATGCGTTTTTTTGCAGTTCGAGCTCGCTCGAAGTTTTATAAGCTCGGCTCGGTTGCGAATACGATAGCTCGAACTCGGTCGCCCTTTTTATTACACAAAGTGCACGTCAAAGCGATGTTAATTACAGCAAATTATGACAATAGAATTGATAAATAGAAGTTGGAAAAAGGGCTTTCTTTCGCTTAAAGAATTTTTACAAAAGGTATTTCCATCCAAAATCTTGTTCGCATCCATCCCTTATCAAATCTTTGTCTATCCGTTCAAACTTTTTGTGCATTCGATTCGTCTCCTTCTGCTCCATCTTTTTGAATTAATACGCTTTCTTGCGTCTCTTTGATCTCGTCTTCAATATCGACATTCAACACATTTGTAAAAAGATTTTCGTATAACTCCCGATCTATAAACTATGTCAATTTCACCAAAGTTTACCTGGGCAGATATTGCAGCTGTTGGGAACACCAAGAAGGTTCTTCGTCCCATACATGTCTCTGATGAGACTGATTCGGAATACAAGCGTGCAACTACCATTATTTACGAAGATGAACGTCTAGAGGCTCTCATCTTAACACAACAAGCGATGTCCATCGTAAAGCAAAAGTTGACTGATGGATCTGTTTTGTTTTCTTCCCCCCCTACTGTATTCAAGCATCGTTTCGAGGCTTACCACGCCATCGAATCCCAATGTGGTCTTTTACACGGTGTTAGACCCATCAGTTATTATGGGGTTCCTTCTGACAGTAACATGTTCTTAGAGGTAAAGTTTCTGGATGATGGTAGCACTATGAAGGCTATCACCAGTGGTGTCTCTGTTAAGGACAAGATTTATAAAGGTTTTCGAACGAATTTTTCTGACAACAATAATCTCTTTTTTTTTTTTTTTTTTTTTTTTGTATTAACAGTGAGTTTATTTAGCAATGAAAAAAAAGTTATAGAAATCGAAAGGGAAAATTAAAAAAAATTATTTTTTAACAACCTTTGTCTTCGTGAACAAATTATGACCTTTTAAACTGGAGGTGTACGAACCACCAATTTGGGAAGCGGACCTTTAATGCCTGATTTCGGGACAGAATGCTTACCTAAAACCGAGCGCTTGGCACCAGGAACTTTTATAGCGCCACTAGTAACTTCGACCATCGGACCAGCCGTCGAAGAAGCAGGTGTGGTAGTATTCATGTGATTGTCAACCTCCATGGATACAATAGCAACAGTGGTTGCAAACTTAGAAGGTGCCGAGCCACTTGGTTCAAACTTGGGGGACGTAGATACGTCAGAAATATCTGTGTCCGAGTCAGATAGCACTTGAGCATGGAAGCTCAAAACGATGGGTGAGGGAAGATCCTTGGGATCTTATCCAAAACAGGCAGTTCCGTAACACCAAGATTCTTCTTTTTGCAAAACTTGGCGGTATGTCCACTACCACGACACGAGAAGCATTTGGTTTTCGCCAACTCCGGGCATTTAGACCTTGTGTGTCCAGCCAAACGACACCAGTGACAAACCGTGGGTGCACCTTTAAATGATGCCGAAGCAAAACAGTCCCATTCCTCCAAGTACAAATTATTCGTGAGTGGCTCATTCTTGACCTTGTCACCGCAAAATCCCAGAGACGGCCAATTTTTGGCAAATAGTTACCTGTCACGGATACGGTCAATTTTAGAGTCACCGTATCCGTGACGGATACGGCCAATTTTTCCAATTTTTCACCGTAACCGTGACGGACGCGGATTTTAAATTCACCATATCCGTGACGGATACGGCCAATTTTTCCAATTTTTCACCGTATCCGTGACGGTCACGGCCAATTTTTCCCATTTTTCACCGTGGCCGTGACGGATACGGCCAATTGTTCCCATTTTTCACCATATCCGTGACGGATACTGCCATTATTTTATTATTTTCACCATATCCGTGACGGATACTGCCATTATTTCATTATTTTCACCATATCCGTGACGGATACTGCCATTATTTTATTATTTTCACCATATCCGTGACGGATACTGCCATTATTTTATTATTTTCACCATATCCGTGACGGATACTGCCATTATTTTATTATTTTCACCGTGTCCGTGACTGAAAGGGTCAATTTATTTCCGTTATTGACCGTGCATTTGACGGATATTATGGAATTGTTCTGGGTTTTATCCTATATTTTCCGGAATCTTTAAACACTCATTGCTATTGCAAAAATTAATACACCGTTGTACTGTTGGACAGTTATATTTAATAGTTATGTTTTTAAAAAAAAATATTTATTTATGTGAAGACAATTTGTATTGATAATAAAAGATATTACGATGTATTTTATTAAAAGAATATATTATGAGAGCTATTAAAAAGAAATAAAGACCAAATTCTAATACGGTGTAGCCCATTGTTTGGTAGTGGAGTATCATAAATAGAACAGTGATAATCCTATAATCAAAATTATTAATAGGCGATTAACATATTTCATATGTATCATTTTATATACCTTATTCTATAGCCAACTTCATTGCCATTTTATCTATAACAATATTATCAGAATATATCAACACAAACAAAGAGATCAAGTTACTTAAGTTTCAATAAACACGAGCAGAAACTAAAAAAATAGCAATGACTCACCTTATCAGATGCCAAAATACCACACACAATAGTTTACATCGGGAAAGCTTTAGATAGTAACAGAGTATGCCACATTTTATTATTTACAGAATATTCATATAAAAAAGAATTGGGGAAAGAAGAGTAGTTTGTAAAAAAAATCTTTTAAATAAGAGTGCGAAACTTATGTAACGTCAAACACACAGAATGGTCAAAAGATTGACCGTATCCGTTACGGTGACGGGATTATCAAAAATTGACCGTATCCGTGACGGTGACGGTATGGTCAAAAATTGGCCGTGGCCGTGACGGAGACGGAATCATCAAAAATTGACCATATCCGTGACGGAGACGGTCAATTTATAATCTTGCCCCGTCCAGGATACAGAATGACAAAAAATTGACCAGATCCGTCACGGATACGGTCAATTTATAAACTTGCCCCGTCCAGGATACAGAATAGCCAAAAATTGACCAGATCCGTCACGGATACGGCCAAAATCGTTATTAACCTTCACCGTAATTCTGCGGTGTGTCCCCAGAAGCATCAGTATAGCCAACCGAGATATCAAGGATAACCGACAGCTCACCTTCAAAATACCCACCGCAAGTGTACTGTTTCATCTGGTACACTTCACCGTAATAACGCAGAGATCTTTTGAGATCCGCCAGAAACGTATCCTTGTCTGGAATTCGCAAAAGAGTCATCTTGACATGCACAAGTGTATTGTTGCCACTAGGAACAGAAGGAGAGCCTTTAAACAACAAGTTCTTGTGACTAACACCGTGAGTTATTGCCTTTGTAGTGCTTCTTGGCATTACAAATTTAACTTCAACCATGATTTCACCAGCAGAGCGAGTACCATAATTGCTAATAGGACGAAATCCTTGGACAGCACCACATTGAGCTTCGATGAGTTCATAAGCTTCTGTCCGATGCTTAAAAAGTGAAGCGGGGAACAAAAACAAAACAGAACCCGGCGTCAGTGCTTGCTTGACAATAGAAGCAGCTTGACGTACCATAATTTGGTAATCAAGTTCAGGATGATGGAAAAGTATGTTACTTTTCAACTGTAAAGATCCAGCCTGCGGTCTCGTGCTACAGCAACAACCCTTATCTATTCCAACCATGTGGTGACACAAGTCCTTCCTACCAACATAAATATCCCTTACTTTTTTCATAAATAAATCCTCAGACTTCTCTTATCTCAATTTAATACTTATTTCCTTCAGAGTCGTTTATAGCTCTTTATTTTTTTATATTCTTTTCCTTTTTTTATTTTCTTCTTTTTTTCTTCTCTTTTATTTATATATTAGAAAACATCTTTAACAAGAAACCTTCAATATATAGCACGATCTTGTATAGTAAACCTCTGTAATAAGAAACCTACATACTTCAACCAGTCGTAATAGAAACTTCACTTCATAAAAACTTAAATACATATATACTAGAAAACCTCTGTAATAAGAAACCTTAAGTATAATATTCGATCTTGTATAGTAAACCTCTGTAATAAGAAACCTACATACTTTAAACAGTCGATATTAAGTTCCTCCATCTATTTTGTTTATTCTAATTTATAAGAAAACCTCTGTCAAAAGAAACGTTCTATAAATTATTAGACCTTGTATAGTAGACATCTGATAAAAGAAACATACATACTTCAAACAGTCTAAGTAAACCATCCCTTTACTCTTATATATTATTCTTCTACTTTTGAAGACATAATTTATCTATCATACTAAATCAAAACTATTTGATTTCTTATAATTATACTCAACTTGACGTAAAAGTTCAAACAGTATTACTACTTTCTTAAAGTCTACTTTAATTTACTACACATAAAAAGGCGTAATCAAACCTAATAACTTGATTTGGTGCTCACTACAAACTTTACAAACTCCTACTTAAACCACTTTAAACCAACAACCAATTTATAATACAACTTGAATTGAGAATCAGTCTCGGCAGAAACAGGAAGTGGACGCAGGACTTTCTTGAAGGCACCGCGAGAAGCCACAGTTGACCAGGAAACATGATCTTGTTTTGACATTGTTAAAGATCCAGAGGGAAAATTAAGAGTTTCGATTTTAAATGTGCAAATACGAGAGAATGTTTTCACAAATGTCTTAAATGTCGCAATTGAAGGCGAGATCGAAGAGATTGGTGAAAGCGTAATAATTAACAAAGATGGAGCTTGCAAAGACGCGTCAAATGCAAAAAGAAAATTGGATGGATGGATAGAATTCACGGAGATATCGTCGAAACAAGCTTTTGGATGCAAATACCTTTTGTAAAAAATCTTTAAGCGAAAGAAAGCTCACAACAATAATCTCGTACACGTTGTAAGATCCGGTGATCTAACGTGACTCCGTTTCTTCGTACCAAATATCAGCCTGAACTCTAATCCTAAACCCATATAAATAACCCCCTTTTTTCTCTCTTTAATAAAAACTTCAGCAATCTTTTTAGCTCAACTAAAACAACCAACAAAATCTAAAAACCAAAACCCTCAACCCCAACTTCTTAAAACTTTTATTTCATTTTCTTTTATTTTTCTTTTATTTTTCTTTTATTTTTCTTTTATTTTTCTTTTATTTTTCTTTTATTTTTCTTTTATTTTTCTTTTATTTTTCTTTTATTTTTCTTTTATTTTTCTTCACTACTTTATACGAGATCATCCTTTTCCTTTGGAAACGGAATAATTCATATAAAACTCACTTCTTTGTCACGGAATCATCTTACAGCTGTCAAGCCATAAGAATACCTCCTTTCAGACCCCATTGTCTATTTATTAAGATCATCTTTAAGCTTACAGCCTAAAGAATAGTTTAATTTCTAACCTAACTCTTAAAGATATCATCCCCATAAAGGAATACCATCTTTAAGTGACTCTGTCAAATATAATATTGTTATCATCCTTTCTTTTTGAACGGAATATCGACTTATTATCTATCTAACTTCGGATATAAGATCATCCTTTTGAATTCATTCAATCCATAAGGAATAGTTTACTTACTCTGTTAATTTTTCACATTCGATATCATCTAAAGACTCTGTCCTTAAGAATACCATCGTCTTGTCTTTAATTACACTCAATAATCGCATACTCTTCATCATCTTGTACAATAAGTACCAAAAATATCGAAAGTATATAAGTTACATCTACTCCATTTTGTCTCCCATTCTGCTCTTTTATTAAGATCAGAACCCTATATCGCTTAGTTAAAAGCCCTATTTTATTACACACTCGGATCGCAACCTACTGCGTGGTGCTCACTTAAACTACTTATAAAATCGCCGTCTATAGACCCCATTACTCTACAACGTCAAGTTCTCGATTTTATATATCCCAGACCAAGAAAACTTTCTGGAAGATTTGATTTCATCTCTAACGTATTATGGACAAGTATTACAAATCAAGGAGTATTCCTGTGGTCGTTACTTTGAGGGTCAGATGTCCGTCATTCTGAACACTGTTGTAGGCTACACGGATGAAGATGATGAATATCACGCTAGTGTACCTTTGTCAAACAACTTGTATCTATCCGAATGGGACTGTTTTGCTACTGCGACCTTTAAAGATGCTCCTTCTGTGTGTCATTGGTGCCATGTTGCTGGTCATATTCGTTCCAAATGCCCGGAATTAGCGAAGACCAAATGTTTTGCCTGTCATAGTCATGTTCACACAGCCAAGTTTTGTAAGAGGGGAAAACGATCCGTTGTTAGGCAGCCTGTTTTCGCTGAAGTATCCCAGGATATTGACTTGGATTCAACTGATGGTCTTGATGCCAATATTTTGTCCGAGTCAGACAATGATATTTCTGATGTATCTACATCGCCCAAGATTGCCTCCCGTGATTCCGAGGCTTCCAAGTTTGCAACTATTGTTGCTAGTGTGTCTGGAGAGGTGGACCATGTAATGGATACTACTACTCTTCCTTCTTCGAACGCAGAACTGGTTGGTAGAACTGGTGGGACCGATAAAGGTCTTAGTCCCCAACGATCTGCTTTAGGTCAACATCCTGTCTCTAAACAGAGCGTGAAAGGGACGTTTCCCAAATTGGAGGCTCGAACACCCCCTACTCTAAAAGGTCATAATTTGTTTACGAAGACTAAGGTTGTTAAAAAATAACCATTTTAATTTCCCCTTTCGTTTTACGTATAATTCACTAATTGCTAAATAAACTTACTGTTCATACAAAAAAAAAAAAAAAAAAAAACACCAAATTCGGATAATTAAATCAAACTATTACTGCATCTATAATTATAATACATTTGGATCTGTGAACATGAAAGTTTAAATTAATTCTGCTACGTCATGTTACTATAGTTACCGTAAAAATTTCGCTTAGTTGGTTATAGTGTGCAACACTGTATCATTTTCTATGCTAAATGTCTTTGTTGATTGTACAATTAAATAAAAGTCCAAAACATTTTAGTTGGAATTATCAACGCGTAAATAAAAATAAATGGTAAAGGGAAGAAAATATTAAAATCAAGGGGAAATGCCATCTGTCTTTGAAGCATCTTTTTTTTTTTTTTTTTTTTTTATGAAATGTCTTTCAAGGACCTTAACTGTACAGTTACTACTACCGACAGTAGAAGCTCGCTCGAACCTAAAAAAAGTGGCGCAAACTCGAGTACAAAAACTCGGTTCGAGCTTCATTCGAACAAGCACAAGATCGGCGCAAGCTAGAAAAGTTGGAACACTAATAGTCTGTAAGTTTATTACATATATAAAGAAATTATAAAATTAGCTCGAAAGCGTCACTAAACTAAGGCGGTTCAAGACTACGTTAAACTTATTCGCATATTTCTAATTGTCAGCATTAATGCCGAGATCAAAGCGTTCAAAGAAGGCGCATTAAATGAAAAAGATAGAGCAGGAGAAGGCGAATGGAATGTAATAAACATTTTGAATAAATGTTTAGAATTGATGGAGATATGGGCCAAAGAAAAAAACTCGCATCGAGAGCATTGAACGGACGGCATTTTTTTTTTTTTGTATGAACTGGACGGCATGTTTTTTTTTTTGTATTAACTGTAAGTTTATTAGATATAGAAAGAAATTATAAAATTAGCCCAAAGGCGTCACGAGACTATCACTACGAACTAAAGGGGATTGGGTTTCTAAAGTATCAGCAATAAGTACCGAGTGATCTTGTTGAAACATGTTAAGAGCAGCTTGAGAGTTCCACAGATCACCATCAATCACACAGCGCCAATGGTATTTCCAAAGTGTTGCTAATCCAGAGCCAAGAATAACAAGCATATCCGACGATAGAGGCTTTTGGTTTTGACCGCAGAGAGAGACAAGGCCAGACCAAATATCAAATTCAGTTTCGAATGTGTCACCAATGTTGAGAAGAGAGATCACGTTACACCAGTACTGCCACTTATCGAAACAGCCCACCACAAAATGGAACAAGTCTTCGGAAGAAGAGACTAAACATATAGGGCAGCTGGCACACGGATACTTAGTAGGAGACCACCGGTGTAGTTTAGCCCTGTAGCCTATACAATCCTGGAGTAGCCGCCACCACGGAGTGAAAGCCTTACTCGTCATATCCAAAGACCAAAAGAGCCGCCATAGGGAAGGCCGAAGTAAGAACCGGGTTGGAACCACCTTAGGTATGACGGCGCGAATCTCAAACTTCTCACGATCTGGATGCCAATACCAGCGAAGATCACCTGGACGTATACCAGAAACAGTAACCATGTTACCACGACCTTGGGGGATAGTCCAATGATAAAGCGCTGGAAGCCATGCGGGGAGCAGAACATCGCGGTTTGATTGATTATGCAAAGCTGTTGGAAGAAAACCAGTTGCAGCAAACCAGCCATCGGATGGATACAAAGCTCGTCGAACTTCTTTGACCTTGCTAGCATTTACGACACGTGTATTTTGCAAGTTGTCGGTAGACTGATTCCAAGAAAAGATATCGGAGACCAAATACCGAAGGGGCACAGAAGAGGGTACCAGTGTCGGGGACCAAGTATTAACTGCATCACCAACAGTTACAACACATTGAAGAGGCAGATCCAGAAACCATCGAGCAGACCATGTGTTGGACAAGGACAGTGGAGGAAGCTTCTGTAGAATTTTGCCTAGTTGAGCCAAAGGGACTATCCGTTTCAGTGAATTTTGAAATTTAGTCGGATATAAGAACCAGGGTAAAATTGAGGCATGACCGGTATATAACTGGATACCACGAACCAACCAAGGAGAAACAAAATCAGTTGCCTTCGGGCCGGAGATCAACCGTTGAATGTAGATGTGTTGCAAAGCTAGCTGTTGCAGATGCACATCAACTAAGCTAACACCACCAAATTTTCGCGGGACATACATAGTAGACATTGAGGGCCGGGGCCAAAAAGGAAGTAAATATCCACGAACCAGAGCTTGGACAGAATCGAGCCACTTAGGTGGTACAGACACCACACGCAAAATGTGCCAGAGCCGACTTAAAAGCAGAGAATTGGCAACAAGACCTGATCCACGCAGAGAGAGATTGCGCTGACGTAAGATATTCGAGTGTCGCAGTATTTTAAGCCGAACTTCATCCAGAAACACATCGAGCTGCGTTGGGGTATGGTATAGAGGGTAACCAAGATATCGCACCGAACCAACAGAACTAGAATCATGCCATTCGAGACCTTCGGATTGAGCAATGTCGACCCATTCAGCATGACCAACACCGGAGAGGGACACCAACACCGTTTTACTTAGATTTACTTTGGCATTAGAAGCAAGACCGTAGCAATCCAATAAAGATTTCAAGACCGGCCATTCACCTGGACCAGTTAAAAAAACCTCCAAGTCATCAGCATAACTTAGTAATTTGACTGGACGAGGAGGCTTCACCACCGACTGACTGATAAAATCGCGATCAGATGAGCTAGGAGTATCAATCCACACCGGTAGAACCAGAGGACACACCGCCGAAGACACCGCACCACCACCAAGAGAAATACCAGAGAGACCAGAGCACGCTAGGATGGACCGAAGAAGAGGTTCAAAGGCCAAATTAAAGAGCAGGGGAGAGAGAGGATCTCCTTGCCGTAGACCTCGAGACTGAGGTATAGGCATTCCTAACCAACCATTGATAGAGATGGATATCTCAGTACCAAAGAACAGAGTACTTAGACAATCCACCAGCGTCAAGGGAAAACCAAATCGAAGAAGCACCTTGCGGAGATAATCCGGATGGACCCTATCATACGCCTTTTCTTGATCCAGCAGAACTGCCACCTGAGGAATATCAGGAGCCACATCACGAGCATTAGCCATAAACATTTGATTTAACCAACCATTGTCAGAGATCAATCTATGAGGCATAAAACCAGTTTGGTAAGGATTGATCAGCTGAGGAAGAACAGTATTAAGCCTATTAGCCAGAAGTTTTGTGAACAACTTTGCATCGCTATTAATGAGAGAGAGCGGGCGCCAGTTCTTGAGTAACATTGGATCACCTTTCTTGAAAAGTAAGACCATCCTAGTTTGTTGCCAAGAAGAAGGAAACACACCGATAAGAGCATCATTTAATATACCTAGCAGCATCGTACGGAAATCAGCCGAAGTCTTGAATAGGTATTTGTACACCTCAAAAGGAAGACCATCCAAACCAGGGCTTTTACCAAGGGGAGTATGACCAACCAAATCTTGCAGAGTATCCATCAGAATAGGATCTGTCAGCGAGTCTGAATCTTCTAGAGACAACACCACATCATCAGGAATACTTGCCAAGAGAGAGTCAACAGCTGCATCATCAATTAAGTCGGGTGTGTATAGCTCCTGGTAAAAACCTCTTGCTTCCCGAATAATATCATCTGAATTCACCAAGACAGAACCGGTAGCGGAGCACTTTAAGGATTGTATAGTCTGTTTAGACTGACGCTCCTTGATAACTCGGTAGAAATACTTGTTGTTACGTTCACCCAGTTCATGCCAGCGAGTAGCAGAGCGAAGCATACATTCACGCGTTTCTTTCTGAATCTGATTGTCAATCAGTTGATCTAGCTCTTTCAGTTTCGAGGAATCAACCAAGATACTTCCAGAACCAGACTGAGTTAACACAGCATCACTAGTGATAATGCCCGACGCAGTTGATAGCAGA